GTGACCGTACGGAGCTAGGTGCACGTGACCAGATTAAGCTGGGTGCACGTGACCGCATAGACGTGTATATAGTAGTCTAGTACTCCTAGTCTAATACAAACCATGCGATCCTTTCTGAATCACAATATCTTTATTCCTCTTAGTCGTAGATATAGGGGGACTAGACCCTAGGAGATCGAGACGAATAAAGCTTAAACTTAGATTAACCACCGTTAAATCAAAAGCCTACGAGCTTTCTAGAGACCTCGATATTAATATATACCTATTAATTATCTCCGAGCGTAGAGTATACGTTTACAACTCCTCGGAGGATCTATCTTAGCCTCCCCTAGATAAAGACTTAGTATATATAACCCTTATTATATAAGAGTGTTAAGCTAAATCCTATAGGAGAATCACTATCCGCTATTAGAGCGAAGGTTTAGCTCTTTAAACGATATTAAGTCTAAACTAAACCGCTTCCTTATATACTTTACCCTCCGAGCGAACCTACTTAGATCGTTAAATCTCTCTTCGTAATCACGAGAAAATAAACGATTATAATAAATTAAATCGCCTAACGCGAAATATCTCTAGAGAATTCTATCGGAATACTAATAGATAGCTCTCGGCCTCTCTCTTTTCTTCCTTCTTTTATTTTTAGTCTATTTCTATAAATCTATATAATAGTCACGCATTTCTACCTATATCGATATATACCCTCCTTATAGGTTAATCCGAATGACTTATTATTTCTATTCGTATAATATAAATAGTTCGTACGGTTAGTTTTTTATCTAACTAAGCTTTTAAAGAGCCTATATATTCCTATTCCCGATATAGGCGTGATATCGGGCGCTACTATAGGCTAAGAAGGACGATTAGAAAGTTCTCACGCGCTAGCCTCTTAGAAGATAAATTTTATTAGTTTCTAGGGCCGTTTTCTCTTAGGCTATCCCGAGGTACCCGGACTAATAATATTCTTCGAAAATATAACCGCCCTTTAACTATAAAGTAAAGTAAAGTAAAACCTAAAATTTCTCGCCTAGCTCGCCTAGAGATCGGCGTCGTGCTTATATACGATAGCTACGTATTATCTACTCTATATATCTACGCGTCCTTCTATAAAATTGTACTCCTAACTACGACCCTTATTTCTATACCCCTATTAAAATTCGGGCGCTACTATAGACTAAAAAGGACGATTAGAACGTTCTTACGCGCTAGCCTCTTAGAAGATAAATTTTATTAGTTTCTAAATAAAATCGTACTCCTAACTACGACCCTTATTTCTATACCCCTATTATAGAAAATGTTAAACTATAGCTCTACTTCCGGTACCCCCTTTAGCGTTAACGCTATAAGTGGTATACTAATTAAAACTATCTTAATAGAACTTCCTAATTTAAATTTCCTACTCCTCCTATTTTATTAAGTGTACCTATCGTCTCCTATTCTATACTTAGGTTTTACTCGATGTCTTACTAATATTTTTCTACTACTATATTAAACGAGTATATATAACTTCTAAATTAATAAATGCCGCCACCCTTTTAAACTATATTACCACGCTCCTCTCTAGACTAATATAGCATATCTTATCGTTTATAAATACTTTTAGGAATAAATAATATTAAGGACGATCCCGTTAATTAGACCTTTTAGCTCACTCTAGAAGCCCTTCGAGTGGACTATTACTCGACTAGTAGTAGTTCTTATTAGGAGGGGGTTATCCTAGAAGGCACACCCGAAGGGTCTAGCACGTGATATAATAGTCTACGAGATATACTACTAGGAGCTTAATAGGGTTTTCGTACTCTCGGATCCTAGGGTTAATCCGCTAAGTTATATTCTAACCTTAGAAGGATCGTGCTTAATTCTTAGATAAGTGGATTAGTCTATATAGTTATATAATATAAATAAAGGAATAGGCCTAATAGTTAAATCTACGCGGCTTATTTTATCTAACCTCCCTTATAAAACTTGATATACTAAATCTGCGATTATTCGAACTTATTTACTATCGATGCTCCTCCTTTAACTTCGCTAACCTACTAAATCTATAGATAATAATAAGTCCGAAGGACGATAGTGCCGAGATACCGGAAGAAAGGATAGTTAATAGTGCTATAATTGACTAATCCCTATAACGTCTAGTATATATATTAATAAGTATCGTGAGAAGTCCTACTAATAAACCGAGTAGGGTTAGTCTTTAAGCCGTGAGTTATATACCTTAATATAATTATAGTTATAGACTTATATAAATAACCGATTTATAAGCTAAATATAATTAGACCTATACTCCGAGTATAACTATCCTATTATTACTAAACCTAGTAAGAAAAGGAAGTATGATATAGCTAAAAGCGGTGGGTTTTGAATAGTGTTTAGGATAGCGTCCCTATTCTTATTTTTCGCGAGACTTTCGTTTATCGTATCTGACTTTTAGAGCGAAGTGAATGTCCCCGGGATAATAAGGTAGCCGGCGAGAAGAATCTAGTGAGCAGCACTAGCTAAAATATTATACTCCTAAGGTATCTTATCCGATTCTATAACCATACGCGTATATCGAGTTCCAAAATATTGATAAGTGGCAATATTATTAACATCGGAGGCTGGACGATCTGCCATCTTGATTTTTGAGAGGACCATTCTACGTAGAATTTCCGTGCGATGGACAGACATTTATACAGGATGGATCGAAATCAGTTTCACCATTTCCTTACAGAGATTCTTTCTCGAACCCTCTTTCTAAACAGGCTATACCTATTACGGTTACTCTGCCCCTGAACCCCTTTCTTGGCAGTATTCCAGTACAGTCCTAAATAACAGCTTAAAATAGCTTCTGTATTAGACTCGTAAGGTCTCCAGGGTTTCTAGAACGTTGATCCAGCAAACAAGCCAAACAAACGAATGCCTGCTCGTTTGGAGACGTGGCAGGAATTCGAATCCCCATTCTGTCAACCACTTGCCCTCTAGTGTGACCTCTACGAACGAGCGAGTTGCATAGAGACAGTATTAGTGGGTAATCTTTCTTTGCTTCTGTAACAGGCTTGGCCTTCTGATAGGGAACTAGCATCGGCTTTTATAGTACTCTAAAAGTGATAATGTTAAAGCGTGCTCTTATCTGGAGGGATCTGGCTGCTCATCGCGTGCTGCGCTTGATTTGACTGTTCTGGCTCGAGTCGACCCGATTCCTGGATAGATGGTAATCTTATCCTAGACAGGACGACTAGGATGCTCGATGTGGGCTGTTTGCCAATCTGATTCCCTATCCTAGCGCTGCGCAGTCACCTGATGGTGCCCCTCTTTCAGCTGGGAGTCAGACAACGGCCCTTCTCACATACTACAAATGAGGCACGTTTATTTGATCATGGAATCGATATTATTTGGTGACAACAACAAGGGCTTCCAAATTGGAGTTAACCATGGTCAGATCTATCAGCTTCCGGGTAAGTCAGAAAGCGGACAAGACTAGATTCGACTAACCGCCACCTCCCACCCTAGAGCGACCGGAAACTCCGCCCAGTCCTCTATCGACTGTCCCGTTCACGCGCGATCCTGACTTTGTCAGTCGCGATGTAGTTCTTGATCGGATTCACGAGAAAAGCTCAGTGCCAGGGTCCAGAATAGCGCTGGTTGGCCTCGGCGGTGTCGGGTGAGTGTAGAGCGACCAGTGCGTGGCCTATTGCTCACAACTCAAAGAAAATCGCAACTTGCCATCGAATACTCCTACCAGGTCCGATTACGATCACCGGCGACATGGGTTTTCTGGGTCCACGCGAGTAACGCAGCTCGTTTCGAGCAAAGTTTCCGAGACATAGCGGACCAGCTTAAAATCCCGGGGCGCCAGGATCCGCAAGCCAATATATTCAAATTGGTCGAAAACTGGATCCGGGATGAGAAGAGAGGAAGATGGGTTCTTATCCTTGATAATGTCGATGATCATGAGTTCCTTCACAAGTCTCCCGCGACAGGCCTAGAAGACCCGAAGAACAACCTAATAAACGCCTCCACAAAGCCACTATTGGATTACCTCCCTAGAAGCTCGAATGGATCTGTCATTATTACGAGCCGGACTCGAGAGGTTGCATTGAAAATGGTCGATTATAGGGACCTTATTGAAGTTAAACCGATGGAAAGGTCCGAGGCGCTAGAGCTTCTCCAAAGAAAGCTTGAACAAACAGAGGAAAGCCAAGAGAGTCAACAGTTAGTGGAGGAGCTCGACTTCATGCCGCTAGCGATAGTACAGGCTGCTAGCTATATTCGTAATCGGGCGCCTCGTTGTTCGGTACCGCAGTACCTGAGAGAATTCCAAAAGAGTGACCGCGAAGCAACAAAGCTTCTGAAAACCGAGGCGGGCCACCTTTACCGCGACTGGGAGGCAAAGAACTCAATCTTGGTGACGTGGCAAATATCATTCGACTATATTCGTAAAGAAAAACCGTCTGCGGCGGACTTGCTTTCTCTTATGAGCTTTTTCGATCGGCAAGGGATTCCAGAGAAACTTCTCCAGTTTCAGCCCGAGAACCATCAGATATCAAGTTCTGGGCTTTTAAACGACTCTAGTGATGAGGAGGAGGTATCTGATTCCGAAATAGTCGACGATTTTGAAGATGATATTACAACACTAAGGGATTATTCATTTATCTCTGTTAGCAAAAACAGCGTCTTCTTCACTATGCACCGGCTAGTGCAACTGACTACTCATATATGGCTGAAGACTCATGGTCAAACAGAGAAATGGAAGGAGAGGTTTATCAGTAACCTCTACTTCAATTTTCCGACCGGTGAATATGAGGACTGGGAAATATGCCGACGGCTCTTTCCTCATGTTAAAGCAGCGATGTCGCAACGGCCAGAATCACATGAATCTCTACGGAAATGGGCTACGCTGCTTTATAATGGTGCATGGTACGCGTCGCAGAGCGGTATCCTCGCGGATGTGAGGGATATGGCATCAAAATCAAGGAAGCAGAGGGTAAGACTATTGGGTGCAGAACATGAAGAGGCCCTGTCTAGCACTGCGATGCTAGCGGCAGTATACGGGCTTGAAGGCCATTGGGAGGAAGCCGAAAGGCTCGAGGTGCAAGTTATGGAGACTTTTAAGACGAAGCTTGGCGAGGGCCATCCCAACACGCTGATCAGTATGTCCAACCTGGCATCGACGTACAGGCACCAAGGCCGATGGGAGGAGGCTGAGAAGTTCGACATGCAGGTCATGGAGACTTTTAAGACGAAGCTAGGCGAGGATCATCCCGACACGCTGACCAGCATGGTCAACCTGGCGTCGACA